GCATGAAGCCCAGATTAGGACACCACACTTCCATCCTGCAGGGTAGAGTGGCTGGGCAAACCTGGTGAGAAGATGCTGTGGGACCCTGCAAAACAAATCCATGCCAAACACCAGTGATACCAGGCCCTGCAGAATCCCACCCTTGCCAAACTCTGCAGCTTCATCTTTTCTTCCTGCACTGGGCACAGTCCTCCTGGGCACAGCAGGTGGCTCTCCCCCACACACCTAAGTCTCGGTATTCCCTGGTTCTCTGTTTTTTGTTTTGTTTGTTTTGTTTTGAGACGGAGTCTCCCTCTGTCGCCAGGCTGGAGTGCAGTGGCGCGATTTTGGCTCACTGCAACCTCCATCTCCTTGGTTCAAGCTAGTCTTCTTCCTCAGCCTCCCTAGTAGCTGGGATTACAGGCACGCGCCATTATGCCCAGCTAATTTTTGTATTTTTTTCTCTCCCAGATCCTTGTTCTTTATAATTTTTGTATTTTTATTTATTTGTTTATTTATTTTATTTTAAAGATGGGGTTTCACCATGTTGGTCAGGCTGGTCTTGAACTCCCAACCTCAGGTGATCCGCCCACCTTGGCCTCCAAAGTGCTTGGATTACAGGCGTGAGCCACCGCGCCCAGCCGATTTTTGTATTTTTAGCAGAGACAGCGTTTCACCAAGTTGGCCAGAATGGTCTTGATCTCCTGACTTCGTGATCTGCCCGCCCTGCTCTCCCAAAGTGTTGGGATTACAGGTGTGAGCCACCGTGCCTGGCCAGTCCTGTTTTGAAACCCTCCCCACCACCGTAACTTTAGAGCCTCCCCTGACCTTATCCCAGAAAGAACTGTTCTGAGCCCCCATGCTCCCTTCATGGGGGCTCAGAGACTTGCACAAAGCAGGGGCCCCTGTGGAATGAGGGCACAGAATGAGGGCGTGCCTACAGAGGCTCCCCACCTCTGCTGTTTGTGCACTCTCAGTATCCTTGTGCTTTGCAAGGGGACAGTGCCTGGCTTGGGGACAGGCGCAGCAGGAGGCTGTGGGGAGTTTCTCACTCTTAGCCCACAGCTTTTGTAAGTTGCCTCCTGGAAGACTGCAGATGAAGCCCTGAGTTTGTGAGCAGGAATTCTAGGCCTCCCTCTTGGTGTGACTGAGTTAGTAGGCAGTCCCTCCCAAGAGGAAGGAGAGCTCGAGTTTGGTGAAGGATAAAGGTGAGGGCTCTGTGTCTGCTCACAAGAGCTGGCAAGTGAGAGGAAGGACATCCGCCTGCTCTGAAGGCACCGACAACACGGCTCACTTTGCACAAGTCACTGATCTGCCGAGCAGGGCCAGTCTCCTCAATCAATCCACGCTGACAGATGGTAGTGGAATCAGTGACCTAGAGGCAGAAGGCTCCATTTGTAATCCTGGAGTGGCCCAGGCGCCTGGAGGAGGGCAGAGGAGTTTGTAATAAAAGGAGTGATACAGTGTTTCCAAAAGCCTTCTTTGAGACAGAGGAGGAGGGAAAGGATTAATTTTGTTTCTAGAATTGATACACTGATTCAGTTCAATGAGTAATTTTTGAGTGAACTGGGTTAGGAGGGAGGGGAAAAAAAACTAACAACCAGTGTACTGTCCTTTTCTTAATGAGCTCCAAGTGTGGTAGGAAAAACAGGATCCCTGCATTTGAAACAATGAGAGAACAACAGAAGACACTGATGTGATTTCAGAGGGAGGGGCTGTCAGTTACTGAGTGCCTGCCACAGTGCAATCTCCAGCAGCAACTTAACCTCTGAGTCTCAGTCTACTCATGTGTCTATTGGGTCTGTATCACAGCACTGTAGCTAGTAGTGCTAACAGTGCCTGGTACTGCACTGATTTTTTTAAATAGACGGGGTTTCTCCATGTTGGTAAGGCTGGTCTCTAACTCTTGACCTTAAGTGATCTGCCCACCTCGGCCTCCCAAATGGTTGGGATTACAGACATGAGCCATCGTGCCCGGCCCTGCACTGATTTTTTTGTTTTTTTGAGACGGAGTTTTGCTCTTGTCACCCAGGCTGGAGTGCAATGGCCCGATCTTGGTTCACTGCAACCTCCGCCTCCAGGTTTCAAGCAATTCTCAGCTTCCCAAGTAGCTGGGATTATAAGAACCTGCCACCACGCCCAAGTAATCTTTGTATTTTTAGTAGAGATGGGGTTTCACCATGCTGGCCAGGCTGGTCTCAAACTCCTGACGTCAGGTGATCCACCTGCCTCAGCCTCCCAAAGTGCTGGGATTTCAGGCCTGAGCCACTGTGCCCTGCCTGTGCAGCTCTCTTGAGAGTCCCACACCTTATGAGTGATGTATTTAAAACATTTATTTTTTTATTTTAAATAGAGACTGTGGGCTGAGGGTGGTGGTGGGGTCTCACTGTGTTGCTCAGGTTAGTCTTAAACTCCTGGGCTCAAGCAGTCCTCCCACCTCAGCTTGCCAGAGTGCTGGATTTACAGGTGTGAGCTACCAGGCCTGGCCCAGTGAGATAATATTATCTCCATGTTATATCTGAGGAAACCAAAGGGAGAAGTGACTTGTCCAAGGCCACACAGTGTGAGTAACCCACATCTTCCTGTTGGCCATGATGCCCATACACGTTCTTTTTCCAAATGGTACTAAAAGAGAAAGTGATGGGATTTCAGGGATGAAGAGACTCAGCTGGCTTGGTCCTAGGACTGGGGAAGTTTCCAGGTGGAGGTCATCAGAGCAATGTTCTGGCAGGGTCTGAAAGGGCAGGGAAGGAGGGGGTGGGGGCTGCATGGTTATGTAAGAGGCAGGCGCCGACAAGAGCCTGGACTCCAGTTATCTGTCTACATTCTCAATAGTTTTTCCTTTTGAATGAGGTTCTGCAACAGATTGTCACCATCCCCCCAGGCCATGCATCTGAGACGAAAGTGAGCTAAGGAAAAAGGGAAAGAATGGAGGAATGATGGGTTGGGAGACTAAGGAAAAGGGATTCATCTTTCTTCAAGAATTCTCGTAAGAAATTGAGGGTGCCCCCAACACGAGTCTTCAGGAAGCTCACCTGCACTCTCCTATTTTTTTTTTTGAGATGGAGTTTCGCTCTTGTTACCCAGGCTGGAGTGCAATGGCGCGATCTCGGCTCACCGCAACCTCCGCCTCCTGGGTTCAGGCAATTCTCCTGCCTCAGCCTCCTGAGTAGCTGGGATTACAGGCACGCGCCACCATGCCCAGCTACTTTTTTGTATTTTTAGTAGAGACGGGGTTTCACCATGTTGATCAGGATGGTCTCGATCTCTCGACCTCGTGATCCACCCGCCTCGGCCTCCCAAAGTGCTGGGATTACAGGCTTGAGCCACCGCGCCCGGCCCCACTCTCCTATTTTTGTCCAAAAAACATGGGTTTGTGCTGAGCGCCTCTTCCACCTTTCCCTTTGAAGCCCTGCCCCCAGGAGAAGCCAGGCACTGGTCTCAAGTCTTGAGGCCTGAGAATTTGAAAATGAAACTCACAGAACAATGGGAACAGCCAGAGGGCAGGGCCTCGTGGCTTGTTCAGCTCTGCCCCGGAAAAGCCTGGCATGCAGGAGGTGTCGGGGAATCAAGTCTCCAGGAATAGTCCTGAACTGCTTTGGAGCCCAATTCCACTTTGTGAGCCTAGACAGAGGAAGGCAGGAGAAATCACTGTCTTCCCCAACTACATGCTCCTGCCAAGGGGCCTGGGACCACCTCAGGTCCTGCTTGGGACCCTGGCACCCTCCTTGTGTAGCTTAAGAAAAGGCAAAGAAAGCATTCACATCTCTGGCTAGGTGGAGTGAAAGGTCAAAGAGAAAAACCAGACCCGAGAAAGCCGTATATCTCAAATATAGGGAAATCTGAGTCCCAGACCACACCTGGTTGCTGTGAATCCCCACCTGCTGCCGGAAGCACTTTTCCAATTCCAATTTACTTTCAAGTTGGGTTGCTTCAGGAGAGGAAGCCACATACTCCCCTAACATCTAGGTCAGATGGGAGCCTAATTTAGAATTGGCAATTTTAGCCAACATTAGGGACATCTAACCCAAACTCTCCTCACCCACAGGAAACAAGCCCAAAGTGGGAAGATAATTTGGCCAGGTCAAAGGTCAGGGGCGGGATCACAAATTCTCAACGCATCTGGCCTTAACACTTTTGATGGCCGTGCGGGCACTAACATCTACAAAGTGGTTGCCCTACAATTGATATTTTCTTTAGAAGAAAGTCTAGTCCTTACTTTGCTCTAGAAGCACATCAGGTTTTTAAAGGAAGGCTGAGGCCTTGGCACCGCAAATCCTCTGCCTTATCTGCAAATTAATTCGGGACCCGGGGCGCAGCTGGCCCAGCATTGCAGCTTCTTAATGCGACAGCAGAAGGCAACTGGAGCGTCCATTTTACAGGTGAGGTAGGTGCACCTCCCTCCTCGCGTTTACGGTGGTGGAAACTGAGGCTCTGGCAGAACCCAAGTTGTTCCTCCACGGACACCCGGCGCCCATGGGCCGAGGTTGCCAGGGACCCAGGCGGGACCAGCCAGGCCTTGGGCTGCCCCCGGCCCAGAGGACGCTTGGCGGGCAAAAGCCGCCCCCACGCCCGGTCTGACTAAACAGGTGACCAGGAAGAGGCCGTGTCCTGGGCCGCGAGAGGCGCGATTCTGGCATTGGAGGCTCCAGGGAACTCCAGAAATCACAGAGATAGATTCCGGGCCACCAACTCCCCAGAAAGTTGGCTCGCGGCCACCCTCAAGACGGTCCTGAGGCGCGGGCCAAGATGGCACTGGGCGGGCGGGGCGCTGTGCCCAGCGGCCGCGGGAGAAAACCCCGCGCGACCCGGCCGCGGGGTGGGGGTCTCCGCAGCCCCGGCCCGGCGCGCGCCGACCTCGACGCCGCCGCACGCGGGTGGGCACGCGCGCGCCCGGCCCCGCCCCCAGCGCCCCGCCCCCGCCGCGTGCCCCGCCCCGCCGCGCGCCCTCCCGCCCGCCCGCGCGCCGCGGCCCGGAGCCTCCCCATTGGCCGCGCGTCGTCACCTGACGCTCTGTTATTTCCTGTGTGTTGGGAGAATGGAGAGAAAAAACCCCGAGCCGAGCGGCTTTCGGCCCCTGCGAGGCGGCCGCGGCCTCCGCCAGGGGAGCCCGCCCTGAGGCGCGCCGGACTGGGGAGCGAGCGCGCGGGCCGGAGCGAGCCTCGAGGGGCCGCGGCCCCGGCCCGCCCCGCCGCCGGCCCAGGCGCGCGAGCTGGAGGCAGCGGAGCCACCCCCACCCCCACCCCGCGCAGCGCCGCCCGCCGCCGCCACAGCTCTCTCCCCTCCCGCCCCCGGCGGAGGCCGAGGGACGGGGCGGGGGGCTCCCGCAGGTAACCGTCGCCCGGGCCTGAGGAGCAGGGAGAGGGTCGGCTTGAGGATCTGTGGCCGGGCCGGGGTGTCCGGCCTGGGGAGCGGGGAGCGGAGGTCCCGGCCGGACCCGACCTGGGAGTGCGGAGCCTCCTGGACTCCGAGCAAGGGCTTGGGGTGCTGAGGGGAGTGTTCCTGCCCGGCCCGACCCGGGAGTGCGGGCAGGGGGCCGGGCCAGGCCTGGCGTCAGAGGGCTGAAGTGTCTCGGGCCGGCCTGGGGGTCCGGCGGGGCTTGGGCGCCGGTCCTCGCCCGCGGGTGCAGAGGAAGGTACCTGCTGGTCGCGCGCGGCCTTGGGTGCAAAGGCGGCGGGTGTGAGCGGGCGGCGTCCGGGAGTCAGCGCCGCCTGCCTCAGGGCCCCTGGCAGTCCCGGGGGCACCGGCCGCACTCGCCTCTTCGCTGCGGGCTGGAGGCGAGGCCAGCGGGGCGGAGGGCCGGGCTCTGGGCTGGAGGGCGCCGCGCTGGGGCGTCCGGGAGGGCAGGGGCCCGTTTACTGCCATGTGAACACCTGAAGCCATGTGGACGCGGCAGCTTCTCGCCTGTTGGGGGCGGAGGGCAGGTACCGGCGGGCTGGGCGCAGGGTCCCGGCGCTGGACACACTTCCTGTGTGGGGCGGCCTCCCCTCCCCCGCCCCGGGGGGCCGGGCAGGGTGTGCGAGCCGGGGGTCTCTGGGCGAGGGAGCGCTCGTTTGGGGGCCTGAGGCTCTAGTCCCTTTTTCGGGGAAAGTGGTGGTTTGAAGGAGCGTGGCCAATCGGGCCGATCCCTCGCCGGCTGCGGCGGGAGGTGCACTGTCCAGAGGACGCCGGAATGGGAGTGGAATTTAGTGAGTTGGGGGGCGGTGCCGTGGAGCGGCCGTCTTCCTCTGCTTGTGGGTGGGATTATTGTCTGTTTTTGTGGTTGCGGATACCAGTACGGTCTGCTGGTCTGTATTCACTCCTTTAGGTCAGGTCAGAATTAGGATTTCCCCCTTTTCCTTTTTGCTTTTTTCACTCGAAGATTAGATGTCTCTAGTAACAGCTGTAAAATGGATGGAATTTTCGAGCTATTATCTAACAGGCTGATCTTTGAATGATAATTGGACCCTTATGTTAACAGTCTCAGTGACGAGTTTTATACAGCATCTTCTGTAGGGTAGCAGTTTGGTGGATGGGGAAACTACGCTGGATTTCGACCTAGGAGTCTGCTTACGGCTTTGACGCCAAATAAACTGCAGCCCAGGGCAAGTTACTTACCCTGGTGATTTCCTTATCGGTTGAGTGAGGATTCCCAGGTCAGACAGTACAGGGGTTTGTGGTTTTGCCTTTTGTATCTCTCATTTTGTGCTTTGTTTTAGCCATAGGCAACTCTTCTGAGAAATGCAGACTGTACCTTGGCTGGCCTTTTAAAGCCTGTCTTACTTGTAGCTTCCAGCCTCTGCCTTCCACAGAGCATAAAACTTGGTCAGGGTACACTCTTTTTTAAAATCCCAGTTGCTGTCCCGTGCTTCAGAACATAGTGTATTATTCTGACCTAGGTGGAATGCACCTTATATATTTTTTGTCTTTGTGGAAGAAGTTACCAGAAAATATTTAAAAGAATATTTGTTTCCTTGGAAAATGTGTGGGTAACATGTGATTTGGGTCTGTGTATGTTGGTTCAGAGGAGTTCCAAGATCTTTCTGTGCAGGGGATTACGGAAGATCCGGATCTTTATTAAAGTTCTTCAAAGGACATTTGACATTTGACTAACTTGAAATTTCTAGCTTCAGCATTCTCAAAGTAGGGGGACAAAGTAGAATGCCATATTATCTCCTGTGAAATGGTATGCTAGTGGAATTAGCTGTCACCTCAGGGTACACTAATTATTTGCATTCCCAACTTATTCGTTACTGGTAGCCAGTGCTCCGCAGATGCTGAAGAACCCCAATTAGTTTCACTGATTTTATGGTGTGCGAAGGCCTTAGGCCGTGCTTTTGACTGGTATTTCTATACCAGCCTCAGAATTGGTTTGTCTTAAATTTCTAGAACTGCGCTGCTGGGCCAGATAGGTACCCAATATGGTATAAAATGTCTTTCTCAGATCACCTTTTGTTATTTAGTTTAGTTAGATCCCTTTATGTTTTATTTATTTTGAGACTATGTGTTGCTCTGTTGCCTAGGCTGGAATGCAGTTTTCTGATCTCAGCTCACTGCAACCTCTGCAGTGAGTTTCTGGGTTCAGGTGATTCTCCCTGCCTCAGCCTCCGGAGTAGCTGAGATTACAGGTGCATACCATCATCTGCTATTACAGGCGAAACACCCCATCTGTACTAAAAAAAAATACAAAAATGAGCCGGACATGGTAGCATGTGCCTGTAATCCCAGCTGCTCTGGAGGCTGAGGCAGGAGAATTGTCTGAACCTGGAAGGCGGAGGTTACAGTGAGCCAAGATCATGCCACTGCATTTCAGCCTGGGTGACAAGAATAAGTAAGGCTTCATCTCAAAAACAAAACAAAACAAACAACAACCAAAACAAACAAAAACCCCCGATTACCCAAATTGTAAGCAGTTATCACACTCATAATATACACTCACATGTATATTATGCTTGTCTTATACCTTACAAGGGAAAAAATTGTTACAAAATTTTCATTCTGTGAAGTAATTTGTTTGTATTTATGTGAGAGAAGGTTGCCAAAATTGACAAAATATCAGGAGACAGAGATTTTAGGTTCCATAACCTTGTAGTGGTATGCTTTTTTCACCTACCCCCCCGCCCCCGGCAGAATCTTGTTCTGTCACCCAAGCTTAAGTGCAGTTGCACGATCTCCTCTCACTGCAACCTTCTTTTCCTGGGCTCGAGTGATTCCCCTGCCTCAGCCTCTCCAGTAGCTGGGATTACATGTGCCCGCCACCATGCCTGGCTAATTTTTTGTACTTTTGTAGAGACGGGATTTCGCCGTGTTAGCCAGGCTTGTCTCAAACTCCTGACCTCAGGTGAGGTGAGGAGGTCATTCCCCTGCCTCAGCCTCCCGAAGTGCTGGGATTACAGGTGTGAGCTACTGCACCCAGCCAACTTTTAAAAACTCTAATAAAATGTAATGTATTTGAAATGATCACATTTATTTGGAGTTGGTCTTTTTTCTGGTGAGTCCAACCTACTTTTCATATAGGTAGGAAAAAATGTTAGCATTTGTATGAAAAACAATCCTTTATGCTAGACTCTGTCCAGCGCATTTTAAATTGTCTTACAACATCCAGCCAGCTGATCTTAGAGATAGATCATCTTTCCTTTCCCTTAGAGATGATAGAGCTAGTGAGGGTCAAGGCTTAGATATAACCCTCCTCCTCTTGGCACCAGATCCTGTACTGTACTAGGTTTGTTGCCTGCTCAAGGCACAAATCAGTTAGTGGTAAATGTGGCACTGGAATCTATATCTTCCTGCTGTGCCACCCCACTCCTTTTTTTTTTTTTAAAAAAAAAGTATGATGAACCTGAAATCTAGATTCAGGTGAAATACTGGAAAGCATGGTTTTCGTGACTGCTTATGCTTTTGCTCCCCCGGAGTTTCCTAAACTTTTACCCTGCTGATACTTGACCAGTTTTGCCAGTGTACCTGAGGTTTAATCTATGAAAAATTTGTTTTTTCATACCTAATCTGTTATTCTGTCTTTAGCCGAAAACGTCTATCAGCTCAAAGAGTAATGTACATAAAGGGTTGTCTCTCTGCCTAGCTGTGTTACTAGTTTACATTGCACTGGAATCATTTTATGTGGTGACTGCTCTCAGTTTGACTGGGTGGGACTCGAAAAATCTATTTACCAAAGACAGTTCTTTTCCTAGTATACCTTAAGCCTTCTTACTCATGGGGCCTTTTTTTTTTTTTTTTTTTTTTTTTCTTTTTAGATAGAGTCTCACTCTGCTGCCCAGGCTGGAGTACAGTGGCAGGATCTCGGATCACTGCAACCTCCGTCTCCTGGGTTCAAGCATTTCTGCCTCAGCCTCCCAAGTAGCTGGGATTACAGGCATGTGCCACCACACCCGGCTAATTTTTGTATTTTTGTAGAGGTAGGGTTTTGCTATGTTGGTTAGGCTCGTCTTGAACTCCTGATCTCAGGTGATCCACCTGCCTCGGCCTCCTAAAGTGTTGGGATTATAGGCCTGAGCCACCATGCTGGGCCCACTCATGGGGACTTTGTGTTCAGGGCACCTTAGTACTCGATTCATTCTGTCTGGGGCTTTGAATCTGCTGTCTTCATTTTCTTTTTGTGGAGGCAAAAAAAGTAACAAGATAAAGCAAAACAATAATGCATTTGAATTACAGTAAGCCTGGGCAACATAGTGAGACCTCATCTCTGCAGAAAATAAGAAAGCCAGTTGTGGTGGTTGGTAGGTGCCTGTAGTCCCAGCTATTTAGGAGGTTGAGGTGGGGGGATCATTTGAGCCTGAGAGGTTGAGGCTACAGTGAGCCACGTTGTTGCCATTGTACCCCAGCCTGGGTGACAGAGCAAGACCCTGTTTAAAAAAAAAAAAAAAAAAAAAAGTATATTGAAATCAAGGTTTTTATAGTTAGTAGAGCATAATTTGTTCATATTGCACTGGATGGTTTTTTGTTATTGATTAAGCTATTGAAAGTCCTTTAATACTCTTGGTACATGTGGTATGAGTAAAAAGGTTCTTATGGCGACAAATACAATCAGTACTTTCTGCATAAGAGATATGTTTGAGCCGGGTGCGGTGGCTCATGCCTGTAATCCCAGCACTTTGGGAGGCCAAGGCGGATGGATCACGAGGTCAAGAGATCGAGACCATCCTGGTTAACATGGTGAAACCCCGTCTCTACTAAAAAAAAATGCAAAAACTAGCTGGGCGTGGCGGTGCATGCCTGTAATCCCAGCTACTCAGGAGGCTGAGGCAGGAGAATTGCCTGAACCCAGGAGGCGGAGGTTGCGGTGAGCTGATTTTGCGCCATTGCTCTCCAGCCTGGGTAACAAGAGCGAAACTTT